TCCCCCTCGGAGTGTGGCCGCGCGCGGGCTGGAGCGGGCTGGAGCGGGCGGCGCGCCTGTGGAACGCTCGGGGCGGCCCAGGGCTGAGCATGGAGCAACGCGGTGGAGGTGAGGGGGCTGGGGCTTGGGGGCGCCTCAACTTCTACACAATGCGGTCCCATAGGGAAGCGGCGTTCCACGAGCCCCCCTGCTTCATGAAAAGGGGGGTGGACTCTTGGGGGTCGGGGAAAGTGGGGGGGGGAAGCGGCTTCCTGTTGCGGAATAAGAACTCGTGATTCCAGGCTGGCCTCTGGAGTTTGGGGGAGAGACTTTCCCCAACTCTCCAGTTCCCCACCCTGAGGTCTGTGAGAGTTGGGACCTGGGCCAGGCTCCTTTCTGGCTCCGGCTGAGTCCCCCACTCCCCCTGCCCACCACGGGGGGAGGGGAGGGCTTTCCTGTACCAGAGTGATTCCTCAGGGAGTGCTGGGGAGAGCCAGGGGTTCCCTTTTCCCACAGCCACCAACGCATTCTCAAAATGGAGCCGCTTGCCCCTCCTCTCTCCCGGCTCTTGGAGCAGGAGCCAGAGCCTGGCAGGCTAGGCCTGGCCTTCCAGATGCCTTGTTCTCCAGGCCCAGCTTTATATCCGTCTGAATTTAGGGGCCCTTAGCCGAATTCAGCCACCACGGCTTCTGGGTTTCCCTCTAGCTCCTCCTGCCTGAGCTTCCAGGCCTCTCTTTGTCTCTTGTCTTTGGGTTCCTGTCTTTCCGAGAGTCTGTCTGCAGCTGCCCTTTTCCATTTGGCTCTCACTTTCTGTGCTCTCTAAAGTGCGTAAGAGTACCCAAGAATGCCAGCCCCTTCCCCTGTTTGCCCCATGCCCTGGAGTAGTGTTCCCTATCAGCTTTATTCAGAGCCAGGACCCCTTACAGAGGCCTGGGTACCCTACCCCAGGTCCCAGCAACTCCTCCCTCAGTCTGGATCTGCTTTTCTCAAGTGTCTTTTAACACTTGGGTGGACTGAATGGAAGTACAGGCAAAAAGGGGAACAGATGGGGCTCACCTGCCCATCCCCCAGAGTAAAAAAAAGCCAGCCTTCCACTCACCCAGGTGGCCTTGTATGCCTCTCAGCCCCCCCTTCTCCCATAAACACTTGTACGGATTCCTCCGTACATATTTGCACACACCTTCTGTTCACACACTGTGTAAGATATACATATCAGAGTTTACACATAAACTCACGTGCATGAATTTACTGTTACATTCACACTTTTTTTCCTTTTTTTTTTCTTTCTTTCTTTTTTTTGGGTCCGGTCGTGGGGCCTGAACTCTGGACCTGGGCACTGTCCCTCAGCTCTTCAGCTCAAGGCTAGCGCTCTACTACTTGAGCCACAGCGCCACTTCTGGCTTTTTTCTTTTTGCTTATTTGGTGCTGAGGAATCGAACCCAGAGCCTCATGCATGCAAGGCAAGTGCTCTACCACTGAGCCACCTTCCCAGCCCCTCTTTCCTTCTTTCTTTCTTTCTTTTCTTTTTGTTGGTTGTGGGGCTTGAACTCTGGGCCTGGGTGCTGTCCTTCACCTCTTCAGCTCAAGGCTAGCACTCCAGCCACAGAACCACTTCCTGTTTTCTGGTGGTTTATTGGAGATAAGAGTCTCATGGGCTTTCCTATTCCGGCTGGCTTTGAATGGCAATCCTCAGATCTCAGCCTCCTGAGTACTCAGCTAGGATTATAGGCATGAGCCGCCAATACCCGACTCACATTTTTTTTTTTAGTCATGGTCACCATCACACACAACAAATGTACTTAAAACATACATATCTAGAATTTTGTCATACTTTTTTTTAAAGCGATTGCTCCTTTACACATGGTCTTGTAAAATCTACACATCAGAATTCATGTGTATGTGTGTATGAATGTACTGGCACTTCTATCCCAACATGCATACACTCCCTCAGGCTTACACACACATTTTCATGTACATACACAGTGTTCATTTTCAGGCTCCTGCGCATATACTCACAAAGTACGTAAATGTACACAGTCCACTCCCATGAAATTCTCTGTCCACTTCTTGGCCCTTTCTCTGCATGATGACTTCAGCAGATGCCTAAGTCCTGGTCATCAGCTGCCTCAGAACTGGGAGGGAGTTCCGGGTGGAGGCCTGCTGTCCCTTTCCAGGAAGGCGCAAGGCCAGGGGAGGAGGAGCCCTCTTGTCTGAGATCCAAGCCAGTGAGATCTTGGAGCAGCTGCTGAGGTGGTGGTGGGCTCCTGCCTGCATCCCTTAGGGGCTACTCTGGGAAGCAGCCTTGCAGGGTGGTTTTACTGGAGGTCAGTAGCAGGTCAGGGCCTGTGCAGGCTCCTGCAGACCCAACTGATTGGGTGGGCAAAGCCAGGAATTGTCATGGAAACAAGCAGAAGCCTGAATCCTCTGAGAGACTGGAGACCCCCAAGGGCACTTAGGGGCTCCCTAAGAGCTGCGGTGTTCTTGTTGGGCCAGTTCCACCCTTGCCGCCTCTCTGTCTGGGAGAAACTGAGGCCCAGAAATTGGAGACAGAGCACTGCCTGGCCTCGGCTCTTTGTTCCCTAATTACCATCTGAGTTGGTGATTGCATCCCTAACATTACCTCTGCCCACCTAGACTGTCCTGTAATGAGGCTACCTGTCCCAAAAGAGTAGGGACCTGTGCTGGGAACCTGTAGCTAGGGCTCCCTGCGTAACCTGAGTCCTAACCTCTGTTGAGGGTGCAAGTTTGGGCTTGGGTCTGGGTCTCCACTGCCAAGTTGCCTTGAATAACTACCCAGGCTTCCATACCCTTATTACCTCTGCTTGGTGGAGTCAGTCCTCAGCCCTGTTCAGACCACAACTGGCCAGTGTGGTCTGGGGCCCAGAGAGAATTGAGATTCATGCCAGTCCCCTTGGAGGGGAATTTTTGAGAGGGATTGGGGCTTGTTACTGATGTTGGGGTGTTGGGCTTGGGGACAGGAGAGGTGTTTATATAGGTGGGACTCTTGACAACACTTCCCTCCCTGCTCATAGGTTGCCCCAGAGGCCCCTGGCCAGGCCTGAGCCGCTGCCACCATGGCCATTGTTCACACTCTGCCAGTCCCACTGGAGCCCACTCCTGAGGCTGCCACTGTCCCGCAAGCTCCAACCATGGGCAGCGTGAGCAGTCTCATCTCGGGCCGGCCCTGCCCGGGGGGACCAGCTCCTTCTCGCCACCACACCGCTCCTGGGCCCACATTCTTCCGCCAGCAGGATGGACTGCTACGGGGTGGCTATGAGGTGCAGGAGCCACTCTGCCCAGCCGTGCCTCCCAGAAAGACTGTCCCTGCCACAAGCTTCACTTACATCAATGAAGACTTTCGGACAGAGTCACCTCCTAGCCCCAGCAGTGACATTGAAGACACCCGAGAGCAGCGGGCACACAATGCCCACCTCCGGGGACCCCCACCCAAGCTCATCCCTGTCTCTGGAAAGCTGGAGAAGGTAAGGCCTGGCCCCTTTTGGGGGGACCTAGGTGGAACCAGTTGTTCCCTGGGAAACTGGAATTTGTAAGTTTATATACAGGAAAGATTATGGACTCTAGATTCACCAGCCCTGGGTTCTAATCCCCTATGTACCTCACACTGGCTGTGTGACCTCAGGGAAAACATTTAAACTATCTAAGCCCCCCCCCTTTTTTTTTGTATATAGTCATAAGAGTAGGCTAGCCTCTGTAGGCTAGTATTGAGAATTAAATAATCACGCTTAGCATAGTACTAGTACCTAGCAAGTACTCAGTAAATATTAGTAGCTTAAATTATTACAACACTGGAGCTTGAACTCAGGGCCTTGAGCTCTCCCTTAGTTTTTTACTCATCACTCAAGACTGGCACTCTGCTACTTGAGCCACCTCTCCACTGCTGGCTTTTTATTAAGAGTCTCCCAGACTTTTCTGCCCTGGCTGCTTTAAACTGCAATCCTCCTGAGTTGCTAAAGTTATATATAATACCAGTTATATATAATCTACAGGGGCTGGGAAGGTGGCTCAGTGGTAGAGCACTTGCCTTGCATGCATGAGGCCCTGGGTTCGATTCCTCAGCACCACATAAGCGAAAAGAAAAAAGCCAGAAGTGGCGCTGTGGCTCAAGTAGTAGAGTGTTAGCCTTGAGCTGAAGAGCTGAGGGACAGTGCCCAGGCCCAGAGTTCAGGCCCCACATATATATATATAAAATCTACAACTGTGTGTATGTGTGTGTGTGTGTGCGCGCGCGCGTGCTGTTCCTGGGACTTGTTACTGGACACTGTCCCTTAGTGTTTTTTATACAAGGCTAGGACTCTTAACACTTGAGCCACAGCTCTACTTCTGGCTTTTTGATGTTTTTTTTTTTGGGGGTCCGGTTGTGGGGCCTGAACTCTGGGCCTGGGCGCTGTCCCTCAGCTCTTCAGCTCAAGGCTAGCGCTCTACCACTTGA